TCGTTGCACTGAACACGAGTTTGCACCGTTGACAACGGCGTTGTGCTACACAGTAAACAAAGACAAGGTCCGTGACGGGACACGTTGGCTACATGTACCTCCTTGCTTTTTTTTCTTCTATTATATTGCATAAAGCTTGTTGGCGAGCCAAGCGATTGGCGATAACACGTTGGCGATAACACGTTGGCGATAACACGTTGGCGATAACACGTTGGCGATAACACATTGCCATTGCCTATCTCTTCGTCTTTCTTATTTAAATAAGGAGCTCTGACTCAACTGATTTCTTTAATCTCGCAAGTTATTTTCTTCGTAAACTACTAAACGCCGTACAAACGTTTACCCGCTTCTATTTAATTGTTGTTTATGCTTTATTGATCTGATAGTAATGCATAACTTAAATTTATATACTGTATTATTGCGTAGAATCTCAAAGATTTTCTCGATATTCATGTCTGAAATGTTTATATACTTGAAAACAACACTGTCTCGCTTCTGCCTACGTACTGTACCTCTGTATAATGAGTATACCGTGAAAATAATATTAGCACTCAATTGAATGCCTAGAATCTCAAAGATTTTCGACTCAATATTTACGTCTGAAATGTTTATACACTTGACTGCACTGTCTAGGCGGTCTAGCTCCTTCCTAGCTCTGTATAATGAATATACCGTCTAAATATTATCGGCATTTAATTGAACGCCCGTAATGCATAAGATCAATTTATATATTGCGTAGATTTTCAAAGATTTACTCAATATTCACGTCTGAAATGTTTATACATCTGAAAACAACACTGTCACTCCTTCCTAGCATATCGTCACGCCATCGTGATCTACGGCTTGATAGCGCATGCGCATTTGCGCTATTAAAGAAAAAATCGGGTGTTCCGGGGTATAGATCCTTTAAACAACATGAGAAGCGAATGTTCTAAAAGTTACAAAAAATTATAATAACGAAAGCGATTCCTCGAAATTTTTGTGAACTTGGCAAAAGGATAACAGAATATGTAAATAAGTTAACTGAAATTGCCTAAATAACCTTCAAAGTACTGACTAAGTACAATAAATCACTACGAACATAAATCGTATACACCCCCCGGAAAGTTTACTCTATGATTGACTGATTCGTGTGAATTCGCCAGCCATCACAATAGTGTGAAGTGAAACTTCACACTAAAAACCGGATACAAATAGCTGTTTTGCGAAATTGAGAGCAATTTTAAATCTGTTCAGTTTTTTTTATACACCCTGTACAGCGAAATTTAAATGACTGTTCTCATTATCTTACCCTCGACTTGGGATTGGTGTTGTATTTTCTGGAGTTGGAAAAAACAAGTCGAACATCTTGAATAAACTGCTCGGGTTCGTGGTAATAATCACTGTCTATACGAGAACGTATGGTCGAGAAGGCAACTGGTTCATCTACATGGTCTGTGTAATCCTATATGTTAAATGGAAATAATTCATTGATAAACGATTTTATACCTCTCGCCTAGAGAAACCTAAACCATGAATAATAACACTTTCTTAGGGTAACTGATGATGATAACTTTATTTAACCACGCTAACATTGCCAGCTACAGCTGGTTTCCACAATGGGCGTGTAAAACATTTAGAAATAGTTAGTATTGGTTACAAGTAAAAGAATAAGAAACAATCCATTAACATGCAGATAGAAAATATACAACAATTATACTATTCACCAAAGTCATGTTGTTTTATAAGCAATGGCTAGCGATTTTTCTTTTAAAACTTGAGAGCGATTTACTTGCTCTTATATGTTCTGGTAGGGAGTCCCATATGGATGCTCCATCGTATTCATAAAACTCTTTTTCATATTGTTCGTATTTGGCTTTGGCAAACGTGTGGTACTTGAGCTGTCGCGGAGACTGTGATTCAATATTTCCCTTTTGAAAGTAAATAATTCTTTGAGACAATTTGGCCCTATGTTTTAAACATTATTTTTGCTTTGGCTCTTTGTTCCTTGAGTGGTTCCCATGCATCTTAATATATTCAACATAGTTTGTTCATCTATCTCATTAATAGGCACATGTGCTTATAATACGAGCAGCTCTGTTGTGAAGCTTTTGCATGCATTGCGGTAAACATATTAAAAAAAAAGGAGAAGAAATTAATCTAAAATTCATACCGGGAATTCAGTGATATCTACAGACTCTCTGAAAGGTTCAGCATCACTTCTAGTGCCCAACATATTCAATAAAGTAAGTATCTCTTCTTTCAAGGAATATTCCTCCTAGCAAAACACAAAAGGTTCATTATCCTCGCTACCCCTGTCATTATACATAGACTTCATTTTAACACGCTATAGCTAGCCTTAACAATTAAGTACTCAGCTTGTTTCCACGAGGGGCGTGTGAATGAGTGAAAACTTACAATACAAAATATGACAGGAACATAACAAGGGTACTCTCTATCTGACACAACAAGAAGACAAACGATAGAAATAAGCCGTCTTCAACTCATCGTTTATTTCAGAATCGTTTTAATTAAAGGAGCTGATGCATAGATACAGTGGTTTTTGCCTCATAAGGAAGATTGTCCCAAAATACGGCATCATTGTAGCCGAATCACCTTTTGCCAAATTATTTCTTAGGAAGTGCTAAATCAGTCCGTGTATTTCTCAGGTTGTATGTGTTACCTGTTTCATCGAAAAGATTATTTTACGTTTAGTGCGATGTGGCCATTAATAATTTTATACATAAAGATGGATTCCCGGTAATTCAGTCTCACTGCTAGGGGTTTTAAATTTAGATCAATGACAATAATTTATTTAAATTGACAATATTTAACTATTATTTTGTGTTTCTCAAGTGTGACTAACCCCAAGTATGATTTTTTGTATGTGTAATATTTGGGTCATTCGAAGAATAAATGTAAAATATCTTTATAATAAAAAATCCCATCTTGATCAACTTTTTCACTGTCAAAGTTTCCGGATATGATGTCATTAGATGAATTGCAAATTAGTTTTCCTTTGTTTTCTGTACCAAAAATTCACCTAATGACATCATATCCGGAAACTTTGACAGTGAAAGGTTGACCAAGATGAGGTTTTTTACTATAAAGATACATTACATTTCTTCTTAGAATGACCCAAATATTACACACACCAAAAATTATATTTGGGGTTAGTCGCACTAACAGGTTGCTAACTGTGTAAACTACAAAGTAAAGCGCCAAAAAGATTTTAGGTTTTGAAACTTTTCATTGCAAATACACGACATTGAAAAAAATTGCCTCTTAAATATCTCACCACTGTCTCCTCCTCTGATCTTCTTGTTTTCTTCCTTACTGGACCAACAGGCGAAAGATTCACAGTCTTTCTTTTACCGCTGCTGCTAGCACCCTGGAATGGTGAAATAAAATGCTTCATAAATATCGAGTTTATATTGTACACTACATTTGCTACTAGAAGATATTACCTCAGTGGTTTGTCCTTCGCCATCTGACTCGTCTACATGCTGAAAGATAAAACAGGATATTTGTAAAATAATGCTAAAATGACTGAGATTTTAGATGGTACGCCAAAGAGAAAATTATGTCTGAAGTTCAGTACAAAGTTTTGCTTTTATTCCTGTAAAACGCCACATAGAAAAAATTGCCTCTTAATACTTTATGAGCAGTAGTGGATGAAGTTCGATCAAGTCCAAGGATTGGATGAAGTTTTATATGTATGATATGGACAATGTTAGCATCGCCTATAGCAAACCACCAATAAGAGTGATGGCTGCCTCAAACTGATGCTGTTTAATTTTGCAAGGATCAGGAAGGTCATACGAGACAGATAGATAACTCATAGACCTGCTGAGATCTTGCTGAAGATAAACTTAGAAGTCCTTTTCTTAGAATACGTAAGGCTGGTTACTAAAGTTAATACAAAAGTGGTTTACATTATCAGAGTTTCTGTGATGACAGTAGGAATTTTGCATTCTACAGTACGTTTTGAAGAATTTGTAAGAAAGGTTTGAGGAAATGAGTCAATTCTCAAAAAAAATTCTTACAAATCCTTCAAAACTTAGAATTTACCTATGCAAAATTCCTACTGAGAACTTTGATTGTGTAAACTGGCCATAAAGATCTTATTTGATGAGGAAGAGTTCCTACCTCAACATCTACCTCGGCGTTTTCCATGATAACATCTTCACAGAGAGTAAGTGGGTCAACACACGAGGCATCCCTTTATATAAGAAACAAAAATCATTATGTGATTTTTAACATAATATCATTTTACAATACCATACCATACCATACCATACCATACCATACCATACCACATGCATAGTCAGGCATACCAAAGTAATTTGATGTATCAATTTGTCTTCAAACCTTTACAGCACTTACTTGATAAATGTCGACAATATAGAGACCAACTTATCAGCATTCTGTACAATCTCACTGTCTTCCTCGTTATAAGTCTTCGCATTTCTGCCAGTTTGACAAACATCCCAGAGCAAAGCTGTCTTCCGCCTGTGGGAATGAAAAATCTCCAATGCAACTACACTTAACTAGCTTTGTCTATCGTGGAAATCAATTGTACAGATCCATTAAAGGACGTTCCTTATTGATACAATGTGTTAGACCTTAGCTAATTGCCTTGCTTTTTTGGTGGGCGTAGAGTAACAACTCGCTAAGAAATCAAAGCTTACTTTTGCTTGCGCGCGAGAGAGTGAAATTTTCACAATATTTAAACCGTTCCAAATCAAATGTTGCCATTCCGAAAGTACTCAATCTACTGCCATGAAATTTTGCATGAGCATAGCCTGAGATCTTAGCTATCTGCCTTGGGAGTAGGGTAAAATCTCGCTGAGAAATCAAACCGCAAATTAGATTAATCAGATAATACCATAGCTACCTCGAAATCCTTTGTTTCGCGAGGGACGATGAATGACTAATTTACCTCATTGCTAAAACATGAGGGACGATTAGAAACTAATTCATTTGTCAGAAACCGTTTTATCGTCTTGGTAGCTATGGTATTACAAAGTGATAGCATGGCATTACGGTCGATTAGTGATGAAAATGTCCCTCGAGAGGTTTAGTACACCTTTCTCGGCTTTCGGATACATTTAATCACTAATCGCCCTGAATGCCATGCTATTACCTATAATAACCAGGGATGGATTTACTGGGGGGTGCACGGGGG